GTAAATAAAGGAACATCCTACAATATAAAATTAACAGATAGCTTACAAAAAACTACTGTAAAACTATTCCATTTTATTGGTTATGGTTTTAGTATAACTTTAACAGAAAAGGTTTTGTGTTCAAATCATTAAATTTTGTTACATCGTCGTTTAAAACTAAAAAAATAACCTGTCTATAAAATAAATTTTATCCTGCTCCATATTCTCATTGTATTTTAAAATTTATAATAGGTGCACCGTCAAAAATTTTTCTATTTCAAACACGATCCGTCCTAAATATCCAGGGTTAGATATTCCATATAGTAAAGCTTTTCACTGTTTTTATACTCCTGTAGTGTCACGGATTAAAACAGATGATGTAAAAATATAGAGAGTCAATATATTTTTTTTATATTTTATTTAAACTTGGTCGCCCTTATATAAAATTTGGGAAAATAATTTGGTGTGGTTTTTGAAGGTATATAAATAAACCTTACTTCCAGAAGAATTTTTTTTGCAACCACCATGATAAATGGTTTTGGTTTGAGTTCTTAACCATTTCTATATAAAAAGTTCACAAATATTAAGGCTGTTATTTTCTTATCGGTAGTGTAATATCGGGAGCATGTAAGGGATTTGCAGACATTTATACTTCGGCGACATAAGAACATGGCACCAAAAGGACTTGAAGGTGGTAGAGCCTAGCTGTGGTGAGTTACTACAGCTCGAACATGGGCTGGCTCGACCGGGGAAGTACCACCCTCTCACAGAAGATCGGCGTGAAGTAGCCTTTACTGGCTGCGTTTCGTCTGATGAGTGAGAGAACCGGATGCCCTTTCCCTATTCCTACCCTTTCCTTTCATTTCCTTATTCCCACCCCTCCCTATCCTCAAAAAACAAGGTTGGCAACGCATCCGCAACATTTTGTTGCGGATGTCCATGGGTGACGGTAACCACCTTCCATCAAGTGGGCCGTCTGCTCGTTTGCCATCTTTCACATAAAAAAAAAAAAACTTCCCATGTAGCTCAACTCAAAACAAAACTTCTGCGTAAACTGCAGAGCGTCGTTACGAAAAGAATAACGATTTATAATTAATAAATACGAATTAGTTAATTAATTAATTGCGTTGCCATTTAAAAATATAACAATAATTTCAAACAGAAGTACTATCTAAAATACACAACTGGGGTCAAAGGTAGATACGTGATCTCCACGGGATGCGTTTATCTGATGACAAATCTGGCTCTCAGGGTCCTGACGCGCAAGAAGGCCTGGCTGGTTGACGGTGAGGGTGATAGTTGCTTAAAGAAGCTGTACGGAACTCTTCTATTTCAGCTGATGCAGATACTCTCTGTTCACGGCTGTTTTGTCAAATGTCTGCCATAGAAAAGCATTAGAGAGTTTTTGTAACGAGTTTATGACCCCGTTCTCAAAATGCATTACACTCTTGGATACGGTCCAGTGTAAAGCAAATAGATCAGATTCCTCAAGGCTGTTGTAAGTGGACAATTATCTTATAAATATAAACGCTATAGTCGTCAGTGATGACGATCTCCTTTTAAGAAACAGACCAAAGAAGCCACTAAAACCATAAAGAAGGAAGAATCTGTACGGCATACGCTTACAAAAGAAGGCTTGTAAGGAGGAGGTTTCCATATGTCCACTATCTATTCATGCCTTAATCCATTGTGAGGTTATGGGGTGATCTATTATTTTTAAAAAAGTTTTAAATCTTTCCAGTCCGAAAAAAGTCCGTTATTTTCCTTCAATTAAATATTGAAGCAAATGAAAATCTAATTAAATAAATCTACTAAAAAATTATGCTTCAAACTTTTACATTAAGTCCATCTTTAAAGAAGTAGCCTTATTCCCAGATTGAATTAACAAGCTTCTATTCTTTATATGTCTTTGAAATCTCTCAACATAAACTAGTTCGACATTATTCAATTAAAATTTTCGATATTAAAACTCAATATTTAACACCTCATTATTTTTTTGCGACATTTTGTTCAAACTAATAAATATGAGTTTTATAAGCGAATGTTTTAATAACTCATAATAAAAATCTGTTCAATTTTATTCCCCTTCCGCAACTCAACGTCCATAGAATCTTGTACATTTTTTTCACAATGTGTACTTAGGGCCGGGTGCGGGAGACTGTAAAATTACAATTTATTATTATTACAAAACGATGTTTATACATCTCTTCATTTTTGATTTATATTGTATTCGAAAATACTTTGTGTGTTTCAAAGCTTATTCATAGAATATCTTTTTGAATATAAGACGTTAAACAGTTCCTAAAACATCAAAATATTTTCTTATATACATAAGTTAAGTATATAGGTACGTCCAATTTAAAACTTATATTCTTACATATAATATGTTATTTTATAATTATGTACAAAAATCTCATTAACATACACATAAAACTCTATACAAACTTAAATCAATGGGTTGATTTTCCTAGAGTAGTTCATTGCTTCGATTCGTTTTTACTTTAATTACTCCGTCGGAATAAACTCAAATAACCATTTGTAACTAATGCTATTTAATTATTATGACTTTATCTGTATGGTATTTTAAGCTTGATTATTATTGTTAATAATTAATTAAGTTCATTACATATTTATATATTTCTTACATGCTAAAACGAAACTATCTACCATTGTGTTGGATAATTTAATTTTAAGCGAGAATAGGTCTGCGAAACTTATAATAACAAGCTAACAACATTATTTACAACTAAAACTGATTTACAAACAAGGTTAAGCGTCCCAAGTCATGTGGAAAGTGCTTAGTGAAATTATCGTAGTCCATTCAGGTAGCAAAATTTAGTGAATTAAATTAATAACAACGACCAAAGGTTTAGGACTCAGGTGGCAAGTTCGTGAAGCATTTATTACACGGGATTTTGGAGCTTATTGTCCTCGCAAAATTAATAACCGAGTTCACTTTTTGTTTGCATCTTATTAGGTCCAAAATTAATATTTATGTCACAGATTTGTATCGTTATTTACGAATTCAGCCATTATGAGCTTCACTTTGATGGTTGTTTCGTTGGATTATAAGTTTCGTTTACCTCGCCTCTTTTTTAAATACGATATTTGATGGAGCAGTATTTAGACTACATTTTTTTAACGATGATAATAAACAAATCAATTAGAATATTATAATTTTAAGCTGTTCACTCACTGACTAACTAACAAATCATACAATTAAATTTACGAAGCATTATTTTGATATCATAGTATAAATATTGCATATCAATTTAAAACTTAAAAGATGACATAGTAAAAAAAACTATTTTAAAGAATTACCGCTACATGATTTACGTACAGATTTTTATGTCCTCACTTATTTGTAACTTTACACACTATACATTCATACATACACCTACAATATTGAAACAGTTATGCATTTAAATGCACTTACACACGCGCAATGGAATATATTTAAGGCAATGTTTCCTGCTATTTGAAGGCAGTTAAACAGTTGACGGAAGGTGCTCTTTACGTTCGCCTCGGATTAACACCCAACTTAAACTTAACTGAATAAATTTTGATCTGGTGGGTTATATCCACTCCTTTTACTTACGACCTTGAGCTACACAAAAATTATCTTCAAATTACTCAAAATAAAACAAGTTTACATTTATTCTATCTGTATGGAAATCAGACAGTTGTCACTATAGCATTACTCAAGATGTTTTTAGAAATATTGAAGAAAGTACAGTTGCAGAATTAAGCATTTATAGCTATTCCTTTGACTTCGTAATTTTATTTTGTCGAAATAGAATATTTCTTGAAATAATTTTCAAAATTTATGTAAAGATTATATGCTTATTCAAATATATAATTAAGTAGGATTTGGAGCTGAAATCAAAATTAATAGTTCAAAATTAATTGATCTATAAAATCATATAATAACATAGATTTGTTTTCATTGATAGCAATGAGTCGGTCGAGTGCCACAAATAGTAAATAATTGCGATGGAATACGAGAGTGAATTCCTATTTTCAATTTAATTGAAACTTTTAGACATCAATTTCACCAAAGCCATTCCGAAGCTTGGAATTGAATTAAAATCGAATTTCCCAGCTTTAATTTTTTTTTGTTTTGGTCTTACTAAAGTTCTAAATAGGTACAATGTGATTTATTTAGTTTAAATACTACAATTTCAAGGGAAACTGATCTACATACATGCTGATTTTACTAATATTCTGATTAAACTCTAGTGAGTTGATTAAAACTCACCTTAATTATTATATGAACATGATAGTTATGGAAATAAATATTGTGATTGTTAAAGTGAAATTCATTTAATAATCAAAGAATTTATGATCAATCATAATTATCATAATATTCATTCAAATCGTAGATCTATAATAATGCCTAAATATTTTTAAATTTTATCACATATATTTTTTTATTATTTTAATAAGTATGAGCGTGACTCTGGTATGTGGTATGTAATATGTAGTATGGTGTAGCATATAGTATGTGATATGTAGTGTCAGATATTCCAAAGGCCATAAAGAAATTTGGAAACTAAAGTGCCAGGAGTCAGTAGACTGATGGACAGATGGATGGATGGTTGAACAGATGAATGGTGAATGTAAATTTTTATCAAAATTTAAATCTACATATATCGTGCAAATAGTTATGAATAGTTGAATTTTATAAAGGTATTGTTTAATTTGACAATACTATCCCATTGTGCAGGGAAATCGTACTGAAGCTAAAATTATAAATGGTATAACAATATAATATTGAAGTTTGTTCTGTCAGATCGTATTGGCTGAACAAAGTTATCGAAGTATTTACCTTGGACGATCAATGTATTCATTATAACTTTATCATTGAAATATTTATATGTATATTTTATTTTTATTACAGAGACGAAACTTCTCAGCATTCCATGGATTCACCGTACGGGTGCCGGGTCCATCGCGTTGCAGGGGGAGGAGCTTCAACAGTGCCTGGGACTTGCGACCCAAGTGTAGGTTTAAGGGGCCCCTTAACTAACGCGCGTTATACGCTCACCTCCACTGTCCAAGCTCCTCTCCCTACCTAACCAAATTTGAAAAGAACCTACTAGGGCTGCCTTCGATGTACGTTCCAAGAATGCATTAATGTGAGTTCTGGACAAGCCCAAGTCCTTTAGTAGGTTATAGAGAGATTTCGCTGTTATACCTCTCGCTCCCACCTCTACCGCGTACAAATCTACTACGAACCTATTTCGAGTGAGTTCGTTCGTGAGCTCGTAATATTTGTTGACCTTGATGGTATGGTCTTTGGGGATGTTGGTTTCCCAAGGGACCGTAAGCTCTATCATCACTACGCGCTTTAAAATTCGCGAAAACAAAAATATATCCGGTCTGGAGGCCGACGCACAAATATCCTCGGGGATTTTATATTGTTTTTCATACGTGTCCATCATTATAGTCCAATCCGACGCCGCTTTAAGGATGGAGTAAGGCTTGACGTTTGATTTTGTAGCCCTAGTGCCTTCTCTCACAAAACCTACTGATCGTTCGTTTGTGGTTATTCCCTTTTGCGCTCTGGCTACCGAAAGACTAACCGCTTCACGTATGACTTCTAGAACCCTATCGTGACGACGCGAGTATTGACCGCTGTCAAGGAGTACCTTACATCCCACCAGCAGATGCTTAGCAGTTCCAACTGCCTTTCCACAGATATAGCAAGTTTTTTCGGTACTTTTACCCCATCTTACTAAATTACTCTGATCTGGGAGAGTCATCTGGAACGCATTGAGATAGAATTTTAGCAATGCTGGCGACCAATCATAAATTAAAGTGCGCCATTTTAATGCTAATGGGATGCAAAAATCTCCTATGTCTAACCACTCGTTCTGCATTTCTAAATTCATTGCATGGATCTTATATTTATCATTCTCGTCTTGCCGAATAAAAGACTTCAATATATCCGCATCTTGGACTTTCCTATTTGATCCTAACCCCGCTCTGTTACTTTGCGCTCCTATCATAAATTGCTTATGGAATTGAAGTCGTGACTCTAGCTCGGGGGCATCTTCATCTTTTGGGAGCGATGTCACTATGTCATCATGGGATTTCCCCAGGATATATCTCTTGGAAACTCTTAGGTGTTTATAGAGCTCCGATGGCCTTTTTAGACTCATCCCAAAACTATTGCTTCCCCTAAATAACGCCGATGAATCAGCCGTTAGAGCGAGCCCGAGCCACAACTTCAACATCTTTATGACGCCTGCATCTAACTTTGACAAAAGGGTTTTATTAAAATCATAGACGAGGAAAGGCCAATTCAAACGTGAAGTTAAGTAATTCTCGTAGATCCACGCTTTTTTGACGTTACTTATCAGTTGGCTATCTACCTTGTTAAGATCGTTCAAAAAGCTATCTACTATTCCTTCTAAAGATGGAGTACGGCCTATATTATCTATCTTACGACCGAGAAATTTAAATGGTGCATTTTCCGTAACCGTAGAAATGCATTGACCGCCTAACGATAGTCCCGGATCGTATGAGGTGTATCTTGTATTCCGCCTACCAAGACACAGACAGTGACATTTACTGGGTTTTGTCCTCAATCCATCCGTCCACTCACAGAATTTATCCACTTCATCCAATAATACCTGACAGTGTTTGGGGTTACGTGTCAGTATTGCGAGATCGTCAGCGAAGGCTAAAATGGATTCCGTGTATTTATTATTAAACTTAAACCGATAACCCCATTTTTTCTCGTTACAGATTAATTTGTCTACTAAGATGTTAATTACGATATTAAACGCAATTGGAGATAGACAACAACCTTGAAACAGTCCTACATTATAACTCAAACTTTTTGAAGGGCCTTCTTTAGTTATTATAGAAAACCTTAATTTTGAGTAATACGACGCGATCATATCTCTAACTAGGGGTGGAAAGTTGTACCATCTAAGCGCGAATAGCATCAATTCGTGTTGTATCGACCCGAACGCGTTCTCCAAGTCTATCCAACAAACAGTGATTTGCCGCTCGCTTTTTCTAGCATCTTTTAAACTCTCCGACAGCAAGGTGTTGTGTTCTAAGCATCCAGAAATCCCGGGTAAAAACCCTTTCTGGTGATTTGGCCTAAAATAGTTGTTGCTGAGCATGAATCGCGTCATTCTCGTTTGTAGAACCGAGAAAAAGATTTTCGATATAGTATTTGTTAAAGCTATCGGTCTAGTATCTTTCGGATCAGTAACTCGATCTTTTTTGGGAATGAGGACAAAAATTGCTTTCCCGAAGCACTCCGGGATTTGCTTCCTTGACCAGATTTTACCGTATATATTTAGGAGGTGTTTACGAACCGATGCACATTTTTTAAAGACTATATATGGGATACCATCGGGTCCCGGTGCAGATTTAGACGACTTCCTCTTGATCTGACTACTTAGTTCCTCTAGCGTTGGTGGAATGCCGTGGAATTCGATTCGAGGAAGTTCAGGTTTTTGATCGTTTGGATCCCTATACCGTCTTAAACTTTTAGGCACTTCGTATGTGCTCTTAAAATGGTCGTAAATTTGATCGTTGGTCAAGAGAAGCTGTCCGCGTTCTTTCTTAAAAATGGTTTTCGAATACTCAAAAGGGTTTTTATCGAAATCTACTTCTTGTTTTGCCCGGTCAAAATTATCGCGATATTCTGCAGTTTGCGCCGATATTCCTTGGATTAATTTAAGGATTGACCTTAACGCCCTAGCTAGTTGATGACTAAGGTTATTGTCGCCTAGAGCTTTGGCTATACGTAGATTTTTTATTAATTCCCGTTTTTTCTTCCGCATTTTTAATTTGAACGAGTTGTCTTTATTTTTGCGAGCATAACGATTACGTGGTGGATATTGCTCGCTAAAGTAGTCATAAACGGTATTTTGGAAAGTTTCTACCTGCGAGTTCAATTCCTGCTTCGAGCCCGGATGCTCTAACAGGACCGCTAAGTTGTCGTCATGAACTTTCCAAGTCGATTGTTTTAGATTAGGAATGCTAAGACGTGTCCTGATGTTAATGGACTCCTGGTGGTTTCCAGTTAATGGTTCACCATGGGATACATGAGGGTCAACTCTATCCGAAGTGAATGTTGTAGATCTTACCGACGATTGTCGTGCTTCAACCCCATTATGTGTTTTTAGATGTTTAATGTACCAGGCTCGTCTCTTGTAGTTTTTCCCGCACGTAGAGCATTTCAAGTCCGTATTCGCGCCGTTTTCGCCGTTAAAATCGACCGGTGGACAGTTCTTCCGCCCCCCCTCTCGGACTGTCCCAGGGGTATTTTTCTTCTTCGGACTTTTAGCTTTATGTATACCGGGTTGGGCTTGCTAGGCCGTCGCCCTCGGCTGTCTTTCCAGCAGTCATCCGTCTTTCCGGCAGTCATCCGTCTTTCCGGCAGTCAGCTGTCTTTCCAGCGTCAGCCCGACTCTCCGGGCAGTCGTTTTAAATAAGACGAAACTTCTCAGCATTCCATGGATTCACCGTGCGGGTGCCGGGTCCATCGCGTTGCAGGGGGAGGAGCTTCAACAGTGCCTGGGACTTGCGACCCAAGTGTAGGTTTAAGGGGCCCCTTAACTAACGCGCGTTATACGCTCACCTCCACTGTCCAAGCTCCTCTTTTATGGTGATATACGAATTATATTTGGCTAATTAATATTGCCACATCTTTTCAGGTGAAAGTAACTTTTTAATTAATAATTATTATTATGTTGGAAAGGAATTATTTAGCTCTTAATATTTATCAATATGTTTTAGGTTATTTGTATAATTTTATTACCAGAGAAAGACGAATAAAAATGCAGCTAAAAGGATTAAAACCCGTGATTATGTAGACACCAATCAAACTATTGTATCCTAACTCGATTGGGGTATTGCACATGTTCCTCATTGAAACTCTGATATGTGGACAAAGTAGGATCCTGTAGTAGTTTTAGGATGTTTTACGACGTTCTTATAAAATTTAAGTATTTAACTAAAGATTAACTTTTCTTAAAAATATGGACGATTATGTTATATGAAACAGTCGAGTGAAAATATATTTAGTTATAATAAATATTCCATTTCATCTCAATGTTATACAGTTCAAATGAACTCACACTTTGTATGGAAGAAAATACCTTTTAATATTGGTATTGAACCCACTTTCCTTTGTTGTATTAATATATTTTAATTTTTCCGCCTCCCGCCGCAGGACCCTAAGTACAAGTTATGAAAAAATATGCACGCCTCTACACGCTGAGCGTTGATGTAGGGAAATTCTTCAGGATTTTATTTTTATTTGCGTTTGTTTAAATGCATGCAATTTAGAATATATATATATATATATATATATATATATCGGCGCTACCAGCTTTAATAACGGATGCGACTTGAAAATAATTTAAGGCTGTCATCAATTCTTATTAAACCTCATTAGTATTTATGATTATTGTTAAAAGTAAAACGAAATCAAAGGAGAATAGAACAATGTTTGAATTTTGAAAAAAATATGACGTCTGGACTCACGACGGCGGACTCCAGATTTGAGAATTCAGAATTGAGACTCGTAGTTCAGAGTTCAGTGAGTGTGTATCATTGAAGTATGTAATTGTGAGGAACCTTCTAAAAATACAGGAGCATTAAGAACAATTGCAGTTTCATTTTAAAATATCATGCAACGCTCTAGAAGAAGTGACATTTGTAACCTCAGCAAGGCTGGCGTCTCTCTCTCTTTTAAAACAACGAATCTGTAATAAATCCGATATATACATAAATTAAATCACGGCGTTGAGCTGAAACGTATATCTCCTTTATATGTAGATTAAAAAATAGAAGATTTATTAGACTATGTTTCGTTGACATATTTTGCTAATTACTTTTATTATATATCTTACAATACGTTCAGTTTACTTTATAGTAAACGTAATCACAGACAGACATCAAAACTTCAGGTACAGTTGATAATAATAATAAACTTGAAATAAGTCCCAGAATATAGTTTCATTTAAAAATGTATTATCTATAGCCTGAGATATCCATAATGTAAGTTTAACTAAATCAAAATACATATTTATTTGTCATGAGTTCCTGTAATGTTATGTTCCTTTAAAGTTAACTTCTTGAAATCTACTGTTTTTTCAATATGTACATGTATCACATTCATTACAAATTTATTTAGCAATTCGATGTGAGACAACTATCCTATTAAATACAAACATATTTGACAAAAGCATTTCGTGTTTGATATAAGTCACATATGCAGTGTACAGAAACTTTTTATTATATTTTTAAGGGTCTTTTAAAACGCTAAATAAAATTATACTATATATAAATTCATTACGATTTATGAGTTTCAGCATGATGACCGACCGAACAATTATGAAAGTTATGAAAGACGGTAAAAAAAAAACATATTACTGCAATTTTTGGATATTAATTATACTCTGTAAAATTTTATGTTAGCTGACACAATTATTTTAAAAGCATCCCCAGTATAACCTTCCTCACGCTTTGACGCTTAAAAGCAGACTTGAATTATTTAAAGTTGCTTTCAAATTAATAAATTGTCATTCATAAAATGTTATATTTTATCCTCCCTCAGATATTTACTTTGTATTAAGATTAAAATAATTTTATTAAATACTAAAGTGAGTTATCGTAAGTCGAAGAAATGGATATTCACAAGATTACGTCGGTCGCCACAAGTTCCGTGTGTGGACCCTCGTCACTCGAATTGGTATCCGGACCTATTCTCACCGCTAATATTTACTCTGAGGTATGTGTTCTTACTCTGTTTATAAATTACTTGAAATCAATATTTAGCGCATACCTATAGTGTACGTAGATATATTAAGAGCGTGATTATTCTTGTTTAATTTAAATGCATCATTCAATATTCACATTTTAAGTTAAATAATGTTTCGATGTTCATTATCGTTGAAAGGTAGATATTTAACTTTGGCCAATAATTCTACGAAGGTTTTCTTCTTATACACGACTTTTAGTAAAATAAATAAAAATGACTGATTCTGACCACAGAAAAAATATTTTTATCCGTATATTAAAATTTTTATAAAATTAGAGTTTTTGGGGTATTTTTTCGATCATACGATCGAGAAAGGTCGTACCTGTATTTTCTGTTTTTATTAAAATTGAAATTTTTGTTTTACTATTTTCATAGTTCTTTTATATTTCAAGGGATCGAAGTAATTCAGATGACCTATAGTAATACGTTAGTAGCTATAGGAATAACTCGATATATGAAATTTTTACAATATCGTATTCACATTTTTTTGTTCCTGTAATTGCATGTAGTTCGGCTAGAAACCTACTCTTAGAGCTCGGAATGGAATTAGTGTTGTAATAGGAATATTCCAATGAAATAAATACCTGCCTTCTGGCAATAAAAAAATATTTTTTTACGATTTACATCATAATAATTAAGAAAACTGGCCATGCGAGAAAAATTTTAAATTATAAAGTAGGTTAGTATTAGGTGCATGTAAATAAATAGTCATTTGCGTGTACTTTACTCCTTATAATTGAATCTTGATCGGAAGGAGACCTCTCTCAGCCCGAGTGCAACTACTGATAGTTGCACTCTTACTGATATTATCATAGAGTAGTGAATCGAATTAGATATAGATCTTCGCTACAAGGAAATTCTCTTTATTCGATCAAATATGCTGTGTGAATGTTATAGAAATAGTTTGAATAATGAAGTGAAGGTAAAGATAATGAATTTTTTTTAATGAAATCTTTTAAAAAATCATATATCCAACCGTTTATTTAAAATATAGACGAAAAAGCAAATTAATTTAGGTTTTATAAGTAACAGTCTATTAAATTGTAGGTTATTATATCCAATAAAACAGTCATAATACATTTTATAACAATATTATCATCATCACATTTTAACTTGTTATTAAACAATTACGTAAATAATATAATGGTAATGCGAACGTCTGTATCTGCGTCCAGAACAGAACAAAATACTTGATATCTACGGAATCCGATTTTAATTCGATAACACGCTTTGTTCCGAATGGCTTTTGTGATATTGGTGTCTGAAATTTCAATGAAATTGAAAATTTAAATTCAGACGCTTATTCGGTAGTAATTATTTACCATAAACATCACGGGCGGATTATTTGTTTTCAGCTTGTGGTGTTTAATAATTATGACATGCGTTTTTCAATAAATTCCATTCGTTAAATTCTAAAATACAACTTCTCATTGTATTACATCGCTGTAGTTCATTTATTGATGAAAGAGATTTATATGTTACTAGTTTTTGCCCGCGACTTCGTCCGCGTTAGTTTCGTCATCCCTACTAATATTATAAATGCGAAAGTAACTCTGTCTGTCTGTCTGTCTGTCTGTCTGTCTGCTACGCTTTCACGCCTAAACCACTGAACTGATTTTAATGAAATTCGGTACAGAGATAGAGTTGACCTTGAGAAAGAACATAGGATAGTTTTTATCCCAGACTTTTGAAAGGTTCTCTTGGAAACGCGATATAACCGAACTCCACGCGGCGAAGCTGCGGGCGGAAAGCTAGTTAGTAATATATGTAGAGCTGACCGGGCGAACTCTATTCCGTTTTAGAGGCCATTAATAATCAGGTTTCGCCTGTTTCAATCGAACAGAATGATTGACATATTAGTTAGTTGTCAAATCTAATGTTAAAAAAAACGTTTGTATGGGAAATAGAAAAGGGCTGTTTTTATGGTTTTCCCGGAAATTAATCAATTTTTTTCAGCTTTTATACCTTCCCTGAACCTCCACGAACATTTCAAGACTAAGATAAGATAAATCTGTTGAGCTGTTCTCGAGTTTTAGCGAGACTAAGGAACAGCAATCCATTTTTATATATATAGAAGAAGAAGATAATGGTTTTTGTAATTTAATATGTATCAATGAGCAGGGAGGCTAATTAAAGCTACAATTATAAATGAGAATATAATAAGCCATAATAACAGCGCATACATATTTAGTATCTTGTACTTTTAATTCTTTATTAGAATATGTATTGATTGAATTAAAATTTACAAATATTTTCACAGCTGTGGTCCCGCAAAAGCAATTCATTTGACAGTGGTACTTGTGACTTAACCTTGATTGATAACTAGATTTTTCTTTTAAACGTTATGCCTTAAGATAGTTTTTAAAAATTAAAGAATTTATTTAAATAATTAATATTATGCACAAGTATGGCCTT